AGAAAACCTTTAAGATAAATGACCTGGGTTTTCAAGAAATAAGTGTCAAGAAAAAAAAAAAATTAAGAGTATAACTACTTTAGATGAAAAATACTTAACAGAAAACCTTTAAGATAAATGACCTGGGTTTTCAAGAAATAAGTGTCAAGAAAAAAAAAAATTAAGAGTATAACTACTTTAGATGAAAAATACTTAAGAGACTTTTCAAACAAATGCAATGTGTACAACTTACTTAGATCCTGATTTGAATAAACCAACTAAAAAGAAAACATGAGACGCTTGAGGAAATTTGAACACTGACTGGATATTTCATGGCCTTAAGGTATTAATATTAATGTTTTTTACCTATGATAATGATTTTATGTGGTTTTTTTTGAGCTTTTATCTTTTAAAGATGCATACTGAAGTATATACAGATAAAATGACAATATGACTGGGATTTGCTTTAAAATAATCCGGTGGAGGTGGAGCTGGGGATGAGTGGGAAGGGAGGGATGTGGGCTGGTGAACAAAATGGGCCGTATGGTGAAAACTGTTGAAGCTGGATAGTACATGGCTCGCTATTATCCCTTCCTGTACACATGTTTGTACATATGTTTGAAAGTTTTCATAAACAAAAGTTTGAAAATAAGTAACCAAAATTATTTATAATTCCTCATTTTATATAAGGGGAAACTAGGCAGAGAGCTACTGCAGCTCACACAACTAAGTACAATACCAGCAATGCAGAAACTGGATGATTTTAAATACTAATGATGTTTGGACATTTAATAAAAATCAGTTCTTTCAGGGCCGGCCCATGGCTCACTTGGGAGAGCGTGGTGCTGACAACACCTAGTGAAGGGTTAAGATCCCCTTACTGGTCATCTTTAAAAAAAAAAAATCAGTTCTTTCATATCTTTACTTGAACTAGATTCTACGGTTACTTGAGAATCTGGAGGACAGATTAAGTGTATTAATAAGAAAATTAAAACAAAATGTGATTCTCAGAGTACAAAAGCCCAAAGGTTCTTCAGAAGAAAACACAGGCTGAGTTAATTATGGAAATTTATTTAAACTTTACAATCAAGAGCTCACGTTTGAAGAGTACTTAGGTATACTCTGATTTCATTATATTTATATGACTTATTTGCTGTAACAAATTTTTTAAACCACTAAGGGCAGAAACAATGTGTTATTTCTTAATTCTCCAATAGTTCCAAGTTCAGCTATGACTAAAAAGTAATGTTTTAACTTTAATAAGCATAAAAAAACTTACACATAGATTTTATGGCTGTTCAGTATGAAAATTATCAACTTACCAAGTCCACTTGGTGGGTAGAAACATTACACAAAAATTTCCAGCAAATCACATAAGACCTTTATGCTTTAATGATCACATTTAATACTAATACAGCATTGTGCAAGGATGCAAGAAAAATTGCACATATTTAATGATAAAACAAAAGCATTCTTGTTATTGCCAAGAACACAACAAATATGTCTGCTATCATTGTTACCATTCATCATTGTTCTAAAAGTATTAGCTAATTTAATAAGAAATGGAAAAAGAATTTAACATATACCAATAGGGCAGAGACACAATTATCACATTTTGTGATAACTGAAACCTGAAAAACCTGAAAAAGCTAAGAGAATCTGCTGAAAACTTTTAGTAAGCATGACAGAGTTCAATTTGCTAGTATAGTTATAAAAGATAGATACATAGTTTTTATATATTCTTTGGTAATAAATTGAAAGCTAAGAGAATCTGCTGAAAACTTTTAGTAAGCATGACAGAGTTCAATTTGCTAGTATACTTATAAAAGATAGATACATAGTTTTTATATATTCTTTGGTAATAAATTAGAAAATATAATAAAAGAATAATGTATTTTAAATAATATAGTAAAATAATAAAATATAGCGATAAACTAATAAATTAGAAAATATAATAAAAGAATAATGTATTTTAAATAATATAGTAAAATAATAAAATATAGCGATAAACTAATAAATTAGAAAAGGTACCATCTAGAATTGCAGCTGCACCAAGATGTGACTGTTAGAATGCCTTTCCTTCCTCAATATTCCCATATGCACATGAGCCCTTTAGAATTCAATGACTCCCACATCTCCCCCTTCCCCAACTTCTGGGTTTTGAAAAGAGAGTTTAGTGTTTCCGTTTAGACTAATCTTAAGGTTTTCTCTTATACTATCTCTTGTATATCAACGGTTCTTATTTGGTACCTATACATCATATTCCCAGTTATTCTGGCATAACCATTTACATTTACCCATATATATCGCTGTTATTTGCTTGCTATTCTTTCCTCTCCTCTTCATTTCTGAATCTTATCTTGAAAAGTCTCTGTTCTGATAGATTTTGTTTGGTTAAGAGCCCTTTCTAGAAGACTTTTCTCAAGTGTGGTAGCATATCTATAAATCTGCCTTTCACTTTGTCAATAAATATTATCTTGGCTGAGGCCCTTCCTATCAATAACACCCAGATGTTATTCCGCTGCCTTCTAGTTTCTGGCATTGAGGATAAGAGTCTTCAATCTCTTTCCCTTGTAAGTAATATATCCTGCCTGAGGCTTAGAAGATTTTCTTTTTATCCTTGAAATTTCATAATTCTCCCAAATATCTTCCTCCTTCATCCCACATAAATTCAGCCTCAAATCTGGTAAACCTTTTAATCGACATTCGTATGTAAGTCTTTCTTCAGCTCAAGGGGATTATTTTCTATTATTAGTTCAATTATTGTTTCTCCTCTCTTTGCTCTTTTTCTAGTCCTCCCTCTGGGATTCCTGATATTTACAAGTGAAGAACCCTCTGGACGTATCCTCTAAGTCTCTCTTCTTCTTCAGGATGTTTTTGCTCTTTTGAGGTATTTCTTGCACTTGAACGTCCAAGTTACTTAGGTGTTAACAATAACATCCTACCCTTCCATTCAACTACAAAATATGTACATTTTGAAATTCAAAACACAATCTATTTTTAGTTCCAGAAAGTATTTTTCATGCTATAATTCAATCTCTTACGCAGTTGTTTTTGGTTTTTGTTTTTAAATGAAGGTATTGTTTGTTTCTTTAACAGTTTTATTTCACAAAAAGCTACTATTCTGGGTGTTTTGCCTGTTCTTTCTGTGTCTAGATATTTCTGTGTCTGGGTCCCCTTAGCTGTACTGCAATTTTTCTTAGTCTTCTCATGGCTCTGTTTATACTCTTTGATACCCTAAATGATGCCAGTCTTGCCAGCCGTAGTTGAGTACAGTGGTCTCTGCCCCATGGGCAGCTAATACATCAGAATTACCAATGATCAAATCCATTTGGGGCCTAAAGAAGAAGTTTCCCTGGCTCCTCACTGTCCACACTGCAAGGGTAGGAAATACTTATCTCACCTATTGAGCCACCTGTGAGGTCCTCAGATGTCCATGGTTCAAGCTCTCTCTAGGAACACTCCAGTGTTCTCTACTTCTTCCATTCCATCCTCTGTCCCAGGCAGGGGAGGGGGGAAAGTCCTTCATAAGCTTCTCATTGAATTCTCTTACAGAATCAAGGTCCTGCTCCTTCCTTCCCAGTCCTACCTGCCCACCCCCCTAACAGCTGCTCCACTCAGGGGACTTTGCTGGTAGGTGGAAAGAGAGGACAGTAAGAACATGAGTTCCAAAAGTCATCTTCCCAGAAACTCCCTCTGCCCTCAAATTAAGTGGAAAATATTCCAATTTGCCATCAATGTAAGTGTTTTCCAGGAATGTAATAAAGAATATGAAGAAGATATTCCAAAAGGAATCAAAAAATATCATTCAAAGATTCCAAAAAGAGTGAGCTGGAACCGTTCTGTATGCGGGATCCGAACCCTCAGCGGGAGCGCCGCCATGCTCCCAAGCGGCGCACTGTAGCAGTGCGCCACCGGGCCGGCCCTCTCCCTCATTTTTTAACACATCACATTCCCCTGCTGAGAAGTCATGAACTGTGTCATATCATAACCGTAAATTTGCACACAAAGCCCAGGTAAATGCAGGTTCTTCTCTCAACTAATAAGGCTCTAGGCACCCTGTGAACTCAGAAGAATTCATATGAAAGCTACAGATAACCCAGTTTTTTAATAAAGGAAAAAGACAAAGGTAATAAGAACACAAGAAAGTTAAAAAGCATATGTTGGGATGTGTAAGAAGAAAACAAAACAAAAGTATGAGGATCTGTAGAAATTAGTAAGGTACCAAAGACAAAGATGGAGAAAAGGTCAGGGAAGCCCAGCTTCTCCTGTTGGCCTTCATGAGACTCTCCGAGTGTTGCAGTGTCAATGTTCTTACTACAGCTATTAGCTGAAAAGTCAGTCACACAGTCCAAGTCAAGCTGGAAGATGACTGAAAAGGGTCTTAGGCCATGCAATAAAAAGTTTAACTTTTTTCCCAACAGACAGATTGAAGTTACTGCCGGGTCTACTCACTTCCATGCCACTGCACCCAAGATGCATCTCAAGCATGTCAAGGACAATAAATGAAAATCTAACAAATAATTTTAAGTACATACCTGTTTTAGGCCATAATGCATTGACTGCAATTTCGCCTTTAAATTCTTCTGCCATTCCAAGCACACACATAGACATACCATACTTAGCAATCGTGTAAGCTGAAAGAAACCACAAAGAACAATAATTTAATTAAGAGACAAATTAATTTGTGAGTAGAAATAACCAATTCTTTCCATTATTATTTTCTCCCTGATATATTTTTGAGAATTATTTTCAATAACACAAAATATACAAAATATAATTTTTTAAATGTACTGTTTTTAAAGAACAGTTTCTATGGAAATAATTGAATAGATATGAACTAGTTTTATATATTTCATCCTAATAATTAAAAGAAAAGAGATAGTAATAAACATTCATTTCATCAAACTGAATCATTAAGATCTGTGTGTTTTATTGAATAAATTATACCTCAATTTTTAAAATTACAGATGAAAGATTAAGAATCTACTTTCCAAAATGCTCCTTACTGATTTTGCATAGAAAATTAAATGTTATGTACAGATGGTGATTACATCATAGACACACCGATTTAATTCAAAACGAATTAACCAGACAAACCATCCCCTCACTCTACTACCTACCACAGTGCTGTTTGAACCACAGTGGGTTTAGGTTCAATGGTGGGCTGAGATTGAGGATATGAGCAATTTTACTCTTTTTCAAATAAGGAATACATGCTTTAGATCTGAATGCAAAAGAAAACACAAGTCAGGTTAATAGCTTTCGGATGACTTCTCCACTTTTTAAAGTTATATTTTAAACTATTCCTACAGAGCAACTGAACTTGCTCAGTAATCTGTAGGATACTTTTTGTTTGTTTGTTTGCTTGTAGGGTACTTTTGTTTGTTTCCTAGAATGAAGACATGAAAAGCAACTAATATTCATCCTTTGATATTCTGCTTAATTGCCTGACAACAAGATCTGCTTGATAAAAATAAACAAATCCTTGACATGTTAGCCTTAAGCCCAACTGAGTTATCTTCAACCACAATCATCCCAAATTCTCTCTTTCCAACACACACACATAATTTTCAGAAACAGTTAATGTACTTGTCCGTCTACACTGTGGTCAAGTCAGATAGACATGGGTTCAAATCCTGCTTGTGCCCCTTCATTGTGTGACTTTGGGCAAATTATATCGCATTCTAATTCTCAGTTTTCTCCTCTGCAAATGTTGGTAATACCTGCTACCATCTGGATTGACCAAGGGATTACAATGAGATACAGTACATATACTAAACATGAAACACAATCACTATTATTAGTATTATATATGTTGATTTATTTCTTCTTAGTAGGCACAGAACTCTTACTACACTGGAACTGTGATTTAGTAATGTAATTCCCAATAAATTCCCAAACTTAATTTGCACTAATATAAAATGTAGTATGGTTCTGGGAACAAAATATAATTTTATTTTTAAAAAGCTGCTCATAGGGGCCGGCCCGGTGGCGCACTGCTATAGTGTGCCGCTTGGGAAGCGCGGTGGCGCTCCCGCCGAGGGTTCGGATCCCACATACAGCCCGGCCGCCCCC